AGGCTTGAGCCACCGCGCCCGGCCGGACTCAGTTTCTAAATGACGCTAGGGAAATGTAGTATGAGGCACTCCTGCTGTCTTGCTAGCGTCCTTACAAAGAATACCAGTGTGTATTTCCCCATGTTATCTCCAGTATGTTCGTTAATCTTATATGTCCTTAATTGCAGATGACCTGAGAACCTTGTGCTCCAGGCTACCCCATAATAAGTAAGTATCCTCAAGACTCCTAGCTGGGCCAGCTTGCTGGGGCAGGGTGGAGGGAGGCAAGACAGGGTGAACCCCTTTGTCCTGGGTTCTTTGGGGAGAGCCCGGTAAGGACATGATGAGAAGTGGGGCGTGGATACGATCAGATAACGCCCGTGAACAGAACTCAAGTAGAAAGTAAACCCGAAAAACGGTCATCATGCTGGAAGTCCCTGAAAGAGGCCAGTCCCTAGTGAGCGTGCACCTGTCGAGTTGTTGAGTGGTGGGTGTGGCGCAGGGGGCCCTCTGTTGGTGACACTGTGAACTGCACAACCATTTGGAAAGTCTGGCTGAGCCACAGCCCTAGAGCACTCTGCCAGTGCTTGGCCATCAGGTGGCACGGACCTGGGTTCTGAGCGTGGCCCTGTCTGGGATTGGCTGTGATGCTCGGGAAGTCTCTTGACCTGTCTCTGTGCCTCAGCTTACCCCCTTGTAAAATGGGGGTGATACTGTTCCCTGACTCACAGGGTGGTAGTGAGGATGAGACGCAGTGGTGTTTGTGAATTTGTCATCCCACTCCTTGCCACGTGGAGACCTCCGCAAGTGCAGTCGTCAGGTGAAAAGTGGGAACTGTGGTCAGATTCTGGAGAGAATCCGGGCCTTGCCACTTCCAAAAGTCCACATGTCCTTGGGCAGCTTCCCTGCCTTCTGCCTGAAGTCCTCATCTGTAACATCAAGAAAACCATGGGACCTGCCTCATGTTCCTCTTGCCTCCGCCAGCTTCTCACTGTAAGATTTTTGTGAGGAGTAAATGAGTAAAAACAGGCTAGGGCTTGGGCGTGGTGGCTCATGCCTGTAATCCCAGCACTTTGGGAAGCTGAGGAGGGTGGATCACCTGAGGTCAGGAGTTCGAGACCAGCCTGGCCAATGTGGTGAAACCCCGTCTCTACTTAAAATACAAAAATTAGCCGGGCATGGTGGTGCCCATCTGTAATCCCAGCTACTCAGGAGGCTGAGGCGGGAGAATCGCTTGAACCCGGGAGGTAGAGGTTGCAGTGAGCTAAAAGTGCGACACTGCACTCCAGCTTGGGCAATAGAGTGAAACTCTGTCTAAAAAATAAAAATAAAAAGGCCAGATGTGGTGGCTCATACCTGTAATCCCAGCACTTCGGGAGAACAAGGCAGGTGGATCACTTGTGGTCAGGAGTTTGAGACCAGCCTGGCCAACATGGTGAAACCCCATCTCTACTAAAAATACAAAATTAGCCAGGCGTGGTGGTATACACCT